TTTTCATGAATTATGTATGATGATGCTAGATAACAGTTGCATGCACACTCAGCTTTCATGATCCAGTGTAATGATAGGTCTAGGGTTTTGGTGGTTAGAGTGACAAGTCATTCAGTTTTGACCTAACCTTTTCCCTAAAAGCCTAATAGACCACCATGGCATAGGAACCACCTTAGGAGTATCCTTAGGCTGCTAGTGTATGAACGCTGTGTTGAGGATTGTTGGGATGGAGTTCCACATTTGCTAATTTAGGGAATGATCATGGGTTTATAAGCAAAGAATAGTATCTCCATTGGTATGAGGCTTTTTAGGGAAGCCCAAAGCAAAGCCATGAGAGCTTATGCTCGAAGTGAAAAATATCATACCATTGTGAAGATCCGTGATTCCTAACATGGTATCAGAGCCATGCCCTAAATTTAGTAATGTCAATAGAATCCTCAAATGTCGAACAAAGTATTGTGAGCTTCGAAGGTATAGTCAAAAGTGACTAAAGTGTCGAACAAAGGGTTTACTTTGTTCGAAGGCTCCAAAAAAGGAGTCGAGCCTCGATTAAGGGGAGGTTGTTCGAGGGCTCCATAGACCTCAGGGGAGGCTCTATAGTGTACTTTGTTCGAGGGGAGGATTGTTGGGATGGAGTTCCACATTGGCCAATTTAGGGAATGATCATGGGTTTATAAGCAAGGAATAGTATCTCCATTGGTACGAGGCCTTTTGGGGAAGCCCAAATCAAAGCCATGAGAGTTTATGCTCAAAGTAGATAATATCATACCATTGTGGAGATCAGTGATTCCTAACACGCTGCCATAGCTTCTGAGGGACTAGGGGTTCCTTATCAGAATTCACTACTCCTAGCCATTTGCATGGGAAACATGAGCCCACGTGGTACAAATCATTTAGTTGGATAGGATAAGGGAAGGGTAGCCCCTTCTCGATGAGAGAGACAATCATAAGCCATGCTAAGGTAGCTCCTCGTAAGTCACCGGTCATTCACAACTTGGCATAAGGAAACTCTTAAGGTTTAAACGAAAGGATGGTGAACCAAAGAAGCCTAGGTTTAAATGAAAGGATGGTGAACCAAAGAAGCCTCAAGGGGATAAGACTAGAACCAGACGTCCTAGAGCCAATTAGAAGCCCGTGGCAATCAGTTAAGATACGATAAGAACCTACAAGTAGGTGGCTTACTAAGTATAACTTTTATACTCATCCTTGCTATATCTTTCTTTTTCAGGTGCATGAGGCGTCGGATCAAGAGAGGGTGTGTTGAGAGATGTGGATTGTCACAGAGGAATGCATGTCCCGGGGCGTCAGTCCAGTCCTTCTTTTTTATACACATCATGTTTCATATTTTCGTTGTTAAAACTAGTTATTATTTCTTTGTATCGAAACTTTTCTTTCCTTATGAAATAAATGATTTTTGAAATGATGTCTTCTTTTGAGTTTTCATGCATACACACTACACGTCAATGTCGTTTTGAGTCACGACTCAAAGTAAAATATTGGGTCATGATAGATTGGTATCAAAGCACCAAGATATAGGTCCTGTAGATACTTAGGTTAAAGAGTCATATCTTTGTGACCATGCCCATCAATCACGTGCCGCTCATGACCAGATAATCTCACATATTTAAATTGTGAAGTTAAGAGCTAAGTTGATGTTTAAAGAATTTAAGATGACTTTCTGTTGGGTTGTAATTGCACATTTCTTGGAGGATATGCTATGAACAAAATGTAACTGTTTTCTGTTATGGTAGATAATGACACCAAAGAGACGCGGATCCTATGTCGGGCCTAGACCCAGAAGGGGAAGAAGAAGAGTCGCCTAGACACCATTGTTTCACCACCTGAGGTGGAACAACCTGAACCTCAAGAGGAAGTTAGAGATGTGTCCCCAAGCAAGTGAGAGAATTGTACCACGGGCACCAAGAACTGGAATGGGCCAAAGGGGAGTGGTGAACCAAGACAAGTTTGACGCAGACTCTACTACTCCCCTCCCAGAGGTAGTCCCACCAGTGTCAGACATTACTACAGAGGTCTCGCCCAGCCAACCAACAACCACGCTCACACTGGATGTGCTACCAACGTTCATGTTAACCTCAATGGAAAATCAGGCTCTAATGACCCAAATGATGCAAACACTGGTGGCTAATCAGACATCAGTGCAAGGGACCAAAGACTTAGGGACTATGACTGTGGAATCCCATTACCGGAAAGCATTCCAAAGATATAAACTATCTTCCTTTGACGGTGGCAAGGTAGATCCTATAGTAGCAGATGTTAGATAAAAAGCTATGATTTTTTCTTTATTTAGGTTATTCGCACGTTTCTTAAACTTAGTTACTTGATTTTTTTGGGCTACTAAATAATGTAAGAGCTTATTTTTAGCGGACCATTTGGGCCAACTTTGCTCAAGATGTGTTAGCCACCTCCTCCAATTTTAGAATGTAATATGTTTTGGAGGAATGTAATATGTTTTAAATATCCAAATTAAATGTGAAACATTTGCACCCTGTTTTTTCAAAAACAAATCCCAAAGCTTCTATACTCTTCCTTTATTTTTCTTCTCCCAACAATTTCTTAGGCAATTTTTCTTCAAGGATTTTCTCACTAGGCGAATTGCTCAGTCAAAGATAACAGTAGAGACCTGGCTAGAGGATATTGAAACAACCTTTCATTCTTTAACTATCTGCTAGAATATCAGGTTCATTGTGGGCATAGATGTTGAAAGGAGAGGCACATTTATGGTAGAAAGACGCTCAGAGGATTATTGCACCACATGGACAGACTATTAGCTGGTGCCAGTTCAAAGAAGCCTACCTTTGCAAATATTATCCAGTCACTACTAGAATGAAAATGTAGGACGCATTCTTTGAACTCAAATAGGGAGACAAGTTAGTGGAGGAGTATGATCTAGAGTTTAACAGGCTGGCAAGATTTTCTCTAGCATATATCAGCATTGAGGAGTTAAAGGTCGAGTGATTCATTGTTGGTCTAAGGGAGGATCTAAAGGGGCATGTGGTAGCCCAGGCATCCTCTGATTATGCAGAAGCCCTTTGAGTGGTGATCCACATCGATATGCCCAACATCGACAAGTTATAGTCAAGATTAGCCCAGACACCCCATGCCGCAATTCAAGGGAAGAGAACAGACATGAACCACCCTAGAACTGGCAAACCGCCCTCTGGCGCACTAGTGTAACGACCGATCTTCGACGCATCGAATCACGGGTCGCCACGTAGACTCAAGAGTAAAAACTTTTCAACACTTCTTGTTGTTTGAACAGGGGACTAAAAGTTAAAAGTTGTCTGATATATATTTCAAAATATCAAAATTACTACAAAACACATAACGAGAACCCTTAGAGTCACATCAAAAGGAAACGGTTGCAAAATGTCGCGTGTTTTTCCAAAAACATCAAAATCATAACCAAAATGACATGGGAGAAGAGGACTCAATCTAAGGGCCCCTTCTGCAGCTGCACACCTCCACACGTTCCTGCCACCGATCCAGATCTACTTTTCACCTGAAAAATAGAAATAACAAAGAATGAGTATATACAAATACTCTGTAAGCAACCTGCTCGTAAGCTCTTGTCAAAGTTAGCCCTATTCACGGGATCTTAAGCTTTGTGCTCGAATAGTCCCTAGTCAGAGACCTAGTGGTGCCTGGCAACGTCTAACTGTTCCTAAGATCAGTAACTACCTGCCACTATGCCTCGCTAGGCCGGGTTAGTAACTACCTATCTTACGCCCTTGTAGGCTTAGATCAAGAAAACTACCTGTTTTAGGAACATTAACTACTTGTCATTATGTCGCTCGGCTGGATCAGTAAAAAGGTCATGACTTGTTTCAATATTCAACTCTAACTGGTTACCACAGTAATATACTATGATTACCCTCAACCCCTTGTGGGTGACTACTAAAACGGTACACTGTCGTCTACGTAATTCATAACTTATGATAACTAGCACATAATAAATGGTCCAACTCACAAAGGGCAACAATGGCTACCCAAGCTCCACACCCAATGCCTAACAAAGAGTCACGGCAACAACACGTCACCATGCTAAATCACGTAATAATCATCTAGTTCAACATAAAACATACCATTCCATACGCCTATAAAAAATTTCACATTCATGCCAACGAAACTATATAACCATAACGACAATCAAAATATAACTAAACACATTATTGAAGTACCACCTCCATGAACTAAATTTATCCATCCCTAAATGCGGTACTAAATTATTTGCCCACAAATCCAAACCGACGCCTACAAGCAATTACATAGAAACTTACTCCAGATGGTTACTTACTTGATGGTAGACTTCTCAAAACTTTATCGAGTCTTCAAGTGTCCACTTGACTAAGCTAATTAGGAATTTTCCTAAAAATAAGGCATTATGGAATGTGTGAGTCAAGTACTTAAATCTAAATAAAGACGAATCAAATGGTTAATTCGGGTTTCGGTTCTGTATAGATGAGTCAGGTCGGGTTGGTCCAACGGGTCGGGTCAGGCTATGCCCCACGATTTTCGCCCTCTTCTTCCCACCTTCTTCTTGATCTTTCTGTCCTCTCAGCACCCCATGTCTTCTTCTTTACGAGGACTCATCAACATCCCTTGACCATAACCTATATACACCGACCCAGTGAAACGTATTAGGGTTTTTGGGAAATGAGCAAAGAAAATCACACCACTAGGGCTTACCGTCGGCGTTCTCCCTTCCTGAACCGTTCGTTCCCAACGTTGCCGATGAGCACTTCAAGGTTCGTCGTTCGTCTCCTCCGCTCCACCCTCTCATCTGTGTTTCTTCTTCTTCTTTTTCCTTTCTTTCTTTTTTTTTTTTCCTATCGGCTGTCTTTCGTTTCCTTTCTTCTCTCTTCTTTTCTTTTTCTTTTTAACCCTAAAATCGTAGTACAGCTGCCCTTTCTCTCTCTCACTTAATGCCAGTCTTACAATCTTCCCCCCTTGACAACTTTCGTCCTCGAAAGTTCCTAATCCTAGAACAACACGAGGTACTTGGCCCTCATCTCGCTCTCTAACTCCCAGGTTGCTTCCTCAACAGGATGGTTGTTCCATAACACCTTAACAAGCGATATCTCCTTGTTTCTAAGCTTCTGTATTTTTGTGGCTACAATCCCGATGGGCTCCTCCTTGTAACTTAAGTCCTCCCTTAAAGGAAAATTTGCATACTCAATCACATTCGAAGGATCTTGGGTGCACTTATGCAACATACACATGTAGAACACGTTGTGAACAACAGCTAGAGTAGGAGGCAAGACTAGTCAGTACGCCATAGAACCAACTCTCTCCAAGATGTCGAAAGGACCGATAAATCTTGGGCTCAGCTTGCCCTTCTTTCTGAACCTCATTACCCCTCTCATGGGTGTCAATTTTAGGAAGACGTAATCGCCAACGGCAAACTCTAGAGCCTTGCGACGCGTGTCTGCATAACTCTTTTGTCAGCTCTATGCAGTCTGAATTTGTACTCTGATCTTTTGGACTGCTGCATTCGTTTGTTGGACTAATTCTAGTCCTAAAATTTGTCGTTTTTCCACTTCTTCCCAAAAAGTTGGAGACCGACACCTTTGCCCGTATAGAGCCTCAAAAGGTTCCATATGTATGATCGTTTGGTAACTATTATTATATGAAAATTCTATAAGGTGCAGGTATTCATTCCAACCACAGGCGAAGTCTATTACGCATGCTCGCAACATGTCTTCTAGGACCTGGTTCAGCCTCTCGGTTTGGCCGTCAATCTAGAGGTGGAGCGTTGTACTGAATCTGAGTTGGGTCCCCATTGCTTTTTGCAAACTTTTCCAAAAGTGGGAGGTAAAGCGTTAATCTCTATCTGACACAATGGAGACCGGAATCCCATGCAATCTGACAATTTATTCCAAATATAACTTTGCCCATTTATCCCCCGTGTAAGTAGCCTTACCTGAGATAAAGTGGGCGAATTTCGTCAGTCTATCAATAATCACCCAAATAACCGTGTATCCCTTCGAGGTCTTGGGTAATCTGGTTACGAAGTCTATGGCTATATTCTCCCACTTCTACTGTGGGATGTCTAGGGGTTATAGTTGATGGTGTTACTCTAACACGTGCGGAAACAATTTGGATCTTAGGCACTTTAAGTACATTAATTATAGTAAATTAGCTAGCATGTTCAAAAGCATTAAAACTCAAATTCTTTTAATGCTAACCTTTTGAAATTCAAATTCTTTTTTCCTCACGAACCGATTTCGAACCACCACTAGTGTCTTCCCTACTATTCTCCGGCCTTAGAACGGGATTGTGGAATTTGGTGAGTGATGAAACTTGATAGGAATTTAGCATATGTAAAGAGAGAGTTTTGAGAGATTTTCTCAAAGTTTTTCAAGTAGTTTTTCCATGTACCTTATCACTCTATTTATAGAGTCATATTTGAATGTTCATCCAAATTTGAGATTACCAAATTTTGACACTCAAATTTCCACTCAAATTTGTGGGATTATGGGGCAAGCATGCAAGTTGAGTTAACCAAATTTTGACGCTCAAAATTTCACTCAAATTTGTGGGGTTTATTTGGCAAACATGCATGTTTGGTTAAACCAAATTTTGACACTCAAAATTCCATCAAATTTTTGGGATTATGTGACAAACATGCAAGTTTGGTTAAACCATATATTGACACTCAATATTCCACTAACTCAAACATGAATTTTTCCATGAAATGAAGTCAACATTTTGACTTTCATTATTTTAATTCAACAATTAATTTAAATAATTAATTTCAAATCAAAATAATATTAAATGATTAATTAAACAGTTTAATTAATATTTAACATTAAATCATATGTCAATCCCAATCAATTCCGGCACATATGGATTATGAATCCCTATTCATAATTAAAACATTTAAATCTTATTTAAATATCTCAAATTCTCTCTTTTTGTTTAATTCATAATTAAAACAAAATGTGGTTAAATATATCGTATATATTTAGTGTGTATTCCCTAATTTGAATTCGAACACTTCGAACTCACTCATCACACTGTTCTAAGGTTTAGTCCGATATGAGCTAGTAGAGGGATCTAATGGACCTACAGATCATGGGCTCCAACGATCCGAGATTAACCGGCTAAACTCACTAACCTTGTTAACCAACATTCGTTAATTACTAGAACACTCCACTATAGCCTAGTAGTTGCACTCCCTTCACTATAGATATATTTCTGTCCATTTGATATAACCATGATTAGTAAGTTGATCCTTCACAGGTTGTTCATAACTAGAGCTGGGTCAATTTACCATTTTACCCCTTAAGTTACTTTTTGTTCCTTAAGTCCCACTGATCCTCTAATGAACAATTGATTTGTTGTCCAACCACCAAACCGAATCCCTCTTGGGCCAATGAGAGGGCGGGGCTCCTTGTTCAAGACTTGGAGTCAGTACTTAAGGGAACAACCTCTCTACTATCCCTAAAAGCGAGTAGGAGTGAATTTCATTTTACACCCTATGTCCCCAACTATTCACCCAGTCTTACCCCTGAAATGGGAGGCTTATTGAGTCGGCGAACTCGGGCCACTCTCACCCATGCAAACCTAAGGATAATTCTTAATAAACAAGAGTTCATAGTGAGCTCAGAATTAAGATCGAGTTACCTAGGTCATCAAATGAAAAAATCAATCTCAATAGTAAACGACATTATAAACTGAGGATGGTTTTCTTCATGGTCTGATCTTATGTAATACTCATTGCATAGGATGCCCCCACTCACATGTCTCACATGTACAATTTAGTGATCACATTGTTTATATCATATACAAAAGCGGGCCGCATCCATAGTGTCCCCAGAATAAGGTACTTAACCTTATCCCTGTACTATAGATCATTTTGATTATATACTTGAACTTGATACACTCTTATGTCTCTACATATAGTTCAAGTAATCATACTATAGCCAAAGTGTTCTTAGTTTATTGGATTTAGATTAATGATCGTAACATTCACTTTATTCAATAACAATCTTTACTGAATAAACATCAATAATAACTTTATTGAAAACAAAATATGTTTTTGTTCACAAACTATGAGTTTTAGGACATAAAACCCAACAGTAGTAAGCTTGAGGGTCTCTGTCTAGGGGCCTTCCTCTGTTGACAAGTGAGACACCTACTAACTTTGAGAGCAACATCCTGCTTCATCCCTGGCCATCAATAACACTTCTTTATGTCACGATACATCTTGGTACTACCAAGGTGTACTGAATACAGAGATTCATGTGCTTCAGCCAGGAGGTCTTCTTTGATTTGTCCATCTGGGGGGACACATAGTCGCCCCTGCCATAGTAATCCTTCCTCGGAAGACATGGTAAATCCTTCCTCCCTCTCTGCCTCATCCTGTTGGCAAACCAAGTACAAGTGAGGGTCGTTGCTCTGAGCATTTATGATTCACTACCTTAGATCTGACTAGACCTTAAGTTGACTCAATCTTCCCATTGCGCCACTTGCCATTACTTCTATTCTAGCTTTCGACATATCCTCCTACAACGTATACTCCCTTATAATTAACGCCAAAGAGTGAGCAGTCTTCTTACTCAGAGCATCAGCTACGACGTTAGCTTTACTTGGGTGATACATTATTTCAAGGTTATAGTCCTTTACTAACTCCAACCAATGCATTTGTCTCATGTTGAGTTCCTTTTGAGTGAATAAGTATTTCAAGTTCTTGTGATCGGTGAACATCTGTATACGCTCGCCATACAGGTAGTTTCGCCATATCTTCAAAGCAAATACTACGGCAGCTAACTCCAGATCATGCATCAAGTAGTTTCTCTCATAATTCTTTAACTAACGCGAAGCATAGGCTATGACTTTGCCATTTTGCATCAGGACACAACCTAGACCTTTCCCTGATGCATCTCTATAGACCACAAAATTTTCTGAGCTATCTAGTACTGCAAGTACCAGCACTGTAATTAGTCAGTGCTTGAGTTCCTTGAAACTTTGCTCACATGCACTATCCCACGAGAACGTCTTTCTTTTCCTCCTTAGTTGTGTGAGACTGACAACTATTTTGGAGAAATCTTGAATAAATCTTCTTTAGTATCTAGCTAAACCTTAGAAGCTTCTCACTTCGGTTGCTGAGGTAGGTCGGGGCCAATCTATAATTGCCACGACTTTGGTTGGATCCACTAATATGCCCTTTCTGGAGACAACATGCCTCAAGAAGGTCACTTCTTGTAACCAAAATTCACTCTTGAAAAATTTAGCATAAAGTCGATGTGCCCTTAGCCTTGACAGCACCTGACATAAATGCGCTTCGTGCTCCTCGTTGCTCTTGGAGTATACTAATATGTCATCAATGAATACTATGACAAACGTATCCTGGAAGTCCTTAAACACCCTATTCATAAGGTCCATAAATGCTGCTGGGGCGTTCGTCAAGCCAAAAGACATCACAGTAAACTCATAATGACCATATCGACTCTTGAAAGCCGTCTTGGGGATGTCGCCTTCCTTGATCCTCAACTGGTGGTACCCTGATCGCAAGTCCATCTTCGAAAATACTGATGCACCTTGTAGTTGATCAAAAAGATCATCAATGCGAGGCAATGAGTATTTGTTTTTTATTGTTACTTTATTCAATGCTTCGTAGTCAATGCACAATCTCAGTGTCTCATCTTTCTTCTTGACAACCAGTATTGGGCCCCCCATGGCGACACACTTGACCTGATAAAACCTCGATCCAATAAATCTTGCAACAACTCTTTAAGTTCTTTCAACTCGGCAGGAGTTATCCTATACGATGCCTTGAATATTGGGGTGGTACCTGGCTCCAACTCAATTGCGAAGTCCCTGTCCCTGACTGGCAGTAACCCCGACAGCTCTTCTAGAAACACTGAGGTAGGTTGGGTGCCTTATCCTAGTAACACTATTGATACAGCCCACTTTGTAATCGTTACAAATGATTTGATCCAAATCATTCGTGTGGAGTCATGTAAGTGGGGGTATCCTATACAATGAGTTTGTATAAGATTGGACCAAGAAATTTTTTATCTCTTTATAAATCTGTTAATTGAGAAGATTAATATTTTACATGATGATCATATGTGACTCGATCTTAATCCTGAGTGAGTTATGAACTCTTGCCTGTGAGGGCTTGTCTTTTAATTTACATGGGTGAGAATGACTCTTTTAGCCGATTCAATATGCCTACCATTTTGGGGACTTGACCAAATAGGGAGTTGGGAACACAGTATCATGAGATTGAATTTGCTCCTTTCCATATAAGGAAAGTAGATAAGTTCTCTTAAGTACTGATTTCGGGACTTGAACAATGGGACCCCACCCTCTCATTGGCCCGAGAGGGACTTGGTTTATGATTGGATCATAGACAAATTGTTCATTAGAGAATCAGTGGTACTTGATAGATATAATTACAGGGGTAAAATGGACTTTTGACCCAATTGTAATTATGAACCACTCGTGAAGGATCGACTTGCTTGTAATGGTTATATCAATAGACACAACTTGTCCTACAGTGCATAAGAGTGCAATTCTAGGTCTATAGTGGAGTGACTTATAGTTAATGAATGGAAATTGATTAATTAAAGAGTTTAATTCATTAATTCTTATCATTGGAGCTTATAATCTGTAGGTCCATAAGGTCCCCTTGCTAGCTCATAGTAACGCTTAAAAGTTCAATTTATTTGAAAGAAAATTTGAATGGTTCAAATTGATATTTAGTATATTAGATATATTAAATATAGATGAGAAAATAAATTTAATTTGAAATGTCAAATTAATATTTAATATATTAGATATATTAAATAAAGAGAGAAAATATATTTAATTTGAAATGTCAAATTAATATTTAATATATTAGATATATTAAATATATGAAGAAAAATATATATTAATTTGAAGGGTTTAAATTAATATTTAAAATATTAGATATTAAATAAAAAATATATGTATTGTATTTGATACAATTAAATATTAAATATTTTGATACATTAAATAAAAATATATTTGAAATTTGAATAAGATTCAAATTAGTTAAATATATATTAGGATATCTTATAATATCTAAATATGATTTGTATAAGGTATTATATCTTAATATATTAAATATGCAAATATATTATTTTGCAAATATTCTCCAAGAGTCCTTATAAAAGGACCCTCTGGTTGAGCCAAAGATATACGATCTCTCACACTCTCTTTAGAGAATGAAATTACATTTCCAGAGAATTCTCGAAACTCCCTTCTCCAATCCATTTGGGATTTTCTTTCAAGAGGCTCCCAGAAGCCATGCCTTTGTGTTCGAGTCATAGTAAGAAAGATCTTGTAGAATGTTGAAGAACTTCTACATGGCCTTGTGTTCGAGTCATAGTAAGGAAGAGGCTCCCAAAAGCCACGACCTTGTTTTCGAGTCATAGTAAGGAAGATCTTGTAGAATGTTGAAGAACTTCTCCAAGAGTCCCTATAAAAGGACCCTCGGGTTGAGCCAAAGATATACGATCTTTCACACTTTCTATGGAGAATGAAATTACATTTCTAGAGAATTCTCGAAACTCTCTTCTCCAATCCCTTTGGGATTTTCTTTCAAGAGGCTCCCAGAAGCCATGACCTTGTGTTCGAGTCATAGTGAGGAGAACTTCTACATGGTTGGAATACTCCAATTGCAAGTTAGGGTTTCTAGGAAGGTAGAGTTCTTATTCTCATATTTATTGCTTTGTTTTAATTCATCATTAAAACAATCAATTTCGCAAAGAACTCATAAATATACCATATATATTATTTAAAATAAAATACCCACCGTGGTACTTTTAAATTCAAATAAAAATCAACTTGGCTCTGATACCAATTGAAGGGAATGAACTCTTCATCCACGTAGTGGAAACATTGGGAACCGTTTTGATTTTTATTAAGAATTAAAACAAAGCAATAAATACAAGAGTAAGAACACTACCTTTGTAGAAACCTAGATTGCAAGACTACTCGGAGTATTCTAACCATGCAGAAGTTCTTCAACATTCCACAAGATCTTCCTTATTATGACTCAAACACAAGGTCAAGACTTGTGGAGTCTCTTGAAAGAAAATCCCAAAGGGATTAGAGAGAGAGTTTCGAGAATTCTCTGTAAATGTAATTTCATTCTCAAGAGAAAATGTGAGAGATTGTATATCTTTGACTAAACCCAAAGGTCATTTTTAGGGACTCTTGGAGAATATTTGCAAAATAATATATTTGCATATTTAATATATTAAGATATAATACCTTATAAAAATCATATTGAGATATTATAAGATATCCTAATATATATTTAACTAATTTGAATCTTATTCAAATTTCAAATATATTTTTATTTAATGTATAAAAAAAAAATATGGAAAGATTTAATATTTAATTGTATTAAATACAATAAATATATTTTTTATTTAATATATTTAATATATTAAATATTAATTTGAACCTTTAAATTAATATATATTTTTCTACATTTATATTTAATATGTCTAATATATTAAATATTAATTTGAACCCTTTAAATTAAATATATTTTCTCTCTTTATTTAATATATCTAATATATTAAATATTAATTTGACATTTCAAATTAAATTTATTTTCTCCTTTATATTTAATATATCTAATATACTAAATATCAATTTGAACCATTTAAATTTTTTTTCAAATAAATTGAACCTTTTAGGCTATCAAGTGGAACTTATGGACCTACAGATTATAAGCTCCAATGATAAAAATTAATGAATTAAACTCTTTAATTAATCAATTTTCATTCATTAACTATAAGTCACTCTACTATAGACTTAGAGTTGCACTCTTATGCACTGTAGGACAAGTTGTGTCTATTGATATAACCATTACAAGCAAGTCGATCCTTCACGAGTTGTTCATAATTACAGTTGGGTCAAAAGTCCATTTTACCCCTGTAATTACATCTATCACCTTAAGTACCACTGATTCTCTAATGAACAATTTGTCTATGATCCAATCATAAACCAAGTCCCTCTCGGACCATGAGAGGGTGGGGTCCCATTGTTCAAGTCCCGAAATCAGTACTTAAGAGAACTTATCTACTTTCCTTATATGGAAAGGAGCGAATTCAATCTCATGATACTGTGTTCCCAACTCCCTGTTTGGTCAAGTCCCCAAAATGGTAGGCATATTGAATCGGCTAAAACAGTCATTCTCACCCATGTAAATTAAAGGGCAAGCCCTCACAAGCAAGAGTTCATAACTCACTCAGAGTTAAGATCAAGTTGTATATGATCATCATGTGAAATATTAATCCTCTCAATTAATGGATTTACAAAGAGAGATTAAATATTTCTTGGTCCAGTCTTATACAAACTCATTGTATAGGATACCCCCACTTTCATGTCTTCACATGAATGATTTGGATCAAATCATTTTTAATGATTACAAAGTGGGCCCTATCAATAGTGTTACTAGGATAAGGCACCCAACCTTATCCATATACTAGACTCTTTAGATTATTACTTGAACACGATCCTCTTGTATGTCAACCACATACTGTTCAAGATTACATTAATAACCTTGAACACGATCCTCTCAAGTGCCTGATCCGGCAGTGCCTATTCCGAGGCTGAATCCTGAGCAAGCTCAGACTCCTTTGGAGCCCTGGTGGCTCTCCTACCCCTCCTTCTAATCTTGGGAGCCATAGTATCTACATTGTACAACAAGTAGGTTACTAGATATCCAATTCAAACTTTAACCATAATAGTTTATGGATTCACGTCACACCATGAAAAGTTAAACCATAATACAACTACAGCTATTACTACGCTTGTAACTTACTTCCTTGGTTACTTGTTCGAGAAGGAAAGTGGCTACAAGTTGAGCTGCAAAGTGCCCAACTGACATTCTAGTTAAGGAAGGTCTACAAGACTTAACAATCTAGTGCTCTGATACCAAAATTGTAACGACCGATCTTCGACACATCGAATCACGGGTTGTCACATGGACTCAAGAGTAAAAACCTTTCAACACTTCTTGTTGTTTGAACAGGGGACTAAAAGTTAAAAGTAGTCTGATATACATTTCAAAATATCAAAATTACTACAAAACACATAACGAGAACCTGTAGAGTCACATCAAAAGGAAACGGTTGCAAAATATCGCGTGTTTTTCCAAAAACATGAAAATCATAACCAAAACGACATGGGAGAAGAGGACTCAATCTAAGGGCCCCTTCTACAGTTGCATGCCTCCACACGTTACCGCCACCGATCCAGATCTACTTTTCACCTGAAAAATAGAAATAACACGGAATGAGTATATACAAATACTCAATAAGTAACCTGCTCGTAAGCTCTTGTCGAACTTAGCCCTATTCACGAGATCTTAAGCTTTGTGCTCGAATAGTCGCTAGTCGGAGACCTAGTAGTGTCTGGCAACATCTAACTATTCCTAAGATCAGTAACTACTTGCCACTATGCCTCGCTAGGCCGGTCAGTAACTACCTGCCTTACGCCCTTGTAGACTCAAATCAGTAAAACTACTTGTCTTAGGTACAGTAACTTCTTGTCACTATGCCGCTCGACTAGATTAGTAAAAAAGCCATGACTCGCCTCACTATTCACCTCTAACGAGTTACCATAGTAATATACTATGATTACCCTCAACCCCTTGTGGGTAACTACTAAAATGGTACATTGTCGTCTACATACTTCATAACTTATGATAACTAGCAGATAATAAATGGTCTAACTCACAAAGGGCAACAATGGCTACCCAAGCTCCACAACCAATGCCTGACAAAGAGTCACAGCAACAACACGTCACCATGCTAAATCACGTAATAACCATCTAGTTCAACATAAAACATACCATTCCATATGCCTATCAGAAATTTCACATTCATGTCAACGAAACTATATAACCATAATGACAATCAAAATATAACTAAACACATTATCGAAGTGCCACCTCCATGAACTAAATTTATCCATCCCTCAATGCGATACTAAATTATTTTCCCACAAACCCATACCGACGCCTACAAGAAATTACATAGAAACTTGCTCCAGATGGTTACTTACCTGATCGTAGACTTCCTGAAAGTTTATCGAGTCTTCAAGTGTCCACTTGACTAAGCTAATTGGGAATTTTCCTATAAATAAGGCATTATGGAATGTGTGAGTCAAGTACCTAAATCTGAACAAAAACGAATCAAATGGGGTGAAATGAAAGGAAAAATTTGGGTTTTGATTTTGTACAAGTGAGTCTGGTCAGGTCAGTCCAACGGGTCGGGTCAGGTTGTGCCCCAGGATTTTCGACCTCTTCTTCCCACCTTCTTCTTTATTTTTCTGTCCTCTCAGCACCCCATGTCTTCTTCTTCACGAGGACTCATCAACTTCCCTCGACCATAACCTAGGTACACCGACCCAGTGACACGTATTGGAGTTTTAGGGAAAGGAGCAATGAAAATCACACCACTAGGGCTTACCGTCGGCGTTCTCCCTTCCTGAATCGTTCGACCCCAACATTGCCGATAAGCGCTTCAAGCTTCAAAGTTCGTCTCCTTCTCTCCACCCTCTCCTCTGTTTTTCTTCTTCTTCTTCTTTTTCCTTTTTTTTATTTTTTTTATTTTTTTTTAACCCTAAAAGAGTAGTACAGCTGGTCTTTCTCTCTCCTTACTTAATGTAAGTTGTACGGCTCTTACAACTAGTAATCAAGGGAGAGCCCCAACATAGAACAAGACTATTTGCCCTAAGTGTCAACGTCCTCACAAGGGGAAATGTCGAGTAGGAACTAATGTATGCTATAGATGTGGCCAAACAGGGCACTTTTTAGTGAATTGTCCTCAGAAAGGAGATCAAGAAACTAACTGACATGTGGCACAGAGTCAAAGAACCCGGGGTGCTCTGCAGTAGCAAGAGCGAGCAGTAGTGCATGCAACAACAGCCAGACAAGCCAACAAGCTTGACACAGATGTTATAGGTACTCTAACCATCTTTAGTCATCTTGCCTTGTTATTTGATTCAGGTTCTACACATGCTTTCGTATCTAAGGAATTTGTAGAGCTAGCACACCTAGAAAAGGAACCCTTAGAGATCACCCTGTCATTGTCCACCCCTGCTCACGAGCTATAGATGGCTACTCATAGGATTAAGGGATGTAGTGTATCAGTGTTAAGAAGTGTCATGGAAGCCGCATTGATACTGTTAAGCATGCAAAAATTCGATGTCATCTTAGGTATGGATTGGCTAAGCGAGAATCGTGCTCTGATAGATTTTGAGACTCGAAAAATGACTCTCAGAATCCTGTCAGGGGATAGTTTTACATAGTGGCGCAAGCGCATTTTTAGCGAGTGTGAACCTGGACAGCATCAACTAGCAGATAGTACAGTTTGTAAATATTTTCCCAGAGGATTTGCCAAGTTTGTCCCCAGCCAGGGAATTTGATTTTGGGGGCAACAGTTTTCTCCAAAATTGACTTGAGGCCATGGTATCATTAGATGATGATCAGAAAAGAGAATATACTTGAGATGACCTTTAGAAGTCACTATGGACATTACGAGTTTCTTGTTATGTCTTTTGGCCTTAACAATGCATCTAGAGTCATCACGAAAGTAATGAACAGGGTGTTTAAGAAATTCTTAGACACCTTTGTAATAGTGTTTATTACGATATTTTGGTTTACTCTAAGTTAGAGGCAGAGCACGAGGAGTAGGGTGTACACCCAACCTGAAAACCTGAAAACCGAAACCGACCCAATCCGACCTAACCCGAAACATAAGGGTTAGGTTGGGTTTTGTTAGATTTCAGGTTTGGGTTGGGTCCATTTTTTTGAACCCGATCTGATTTGGGTTGGGTTCGGGTTCCAAAAGAAAATGATTGGGTCAACCCGACTCAACCCGAAAATATTTGGAAAAAAAAAAAGAAATTGAAGCCCAAGGGCCCAAAGTCAAAGCCCAATAACCTATTGCTAATGTCTTGTCTTGTCTCTAACCACCTTTAACAAAGCCCAAGCTTGACACTTTTTACCAAAGTCCAATTACTTAAATGGTGTAAACAAATTTAAAATAACAATTCTCTCCGAGCTTTGATTACTTAAATGGGACAAAAAGCCTCATTTCTGAGTCAACGGAACATTTCTCTCCCTCCTCTTTAGTCAGCCGATCTCTCTCTCTCCTTTGTTATAATTCTCTCTCAAAAAGCCTCATCCTGACAGCCTTTTTCTCCTTTCAGCCAATTCTCTTCTCACGCCAAAATACAAACCTTTAGCCAAAATACAAACCTTCAGCCAAAATATAAATCTCTCTCTCAACGCTTAGTCTCTCACAAAAAATTTGATCTCAATAGTATTTTCTCGCGTTTTTTGTCTTGTTTCTCTCTTGCGTACCGTCTTTCTCTCTTTAGTCTCTTGGAACGTCATAACGGGTAAGTTCTTGGAACGCCATAATGATATATTTTAACTTTGATGCATCCTATAGTAATTGTTCATATTGGGTTGAATGTTTAAATCATAATAGTTCTATTTTACTTTTTATAGATGGAAAACAGTAGTGCAACTGAATGTGCCAATAGCTCTAGTAATTATAATGCATCGAAGCCACCATTGGCCGCACAATCTGAATTTAAGAAGAAGAAACCTAGTAAATCAACCATGTGGGATCATTTTACAAGATTGGAGAACAATAATAATAATAAGAGGTGCACTTAAGGAGTATTACCTCAGCGGTGAAAGAAATTTCTCTTTCTTTCCCTCTGCTATTTCTGAGTTCTTGGCAGCACTCTCCCTCTGCAATTTTTACACAAATTTTATTTCTTCCTCTCTGTCATTTTACTCTACAATCCTTCCTTTGCCATTCATTTTATTTTGCTATCTCTTCCTCTGCCATCATCTTCTCTCCTCTACCACTCATTTCAACTTCTCTCCTGCACTTCATTTCAACTCCTCTTCTCTGCAATTCATTTCTCTCCAATTAATTTCAACTCCTCTCCTCTCCAATTCATTTCAATTGCAATTAATTTCTCTACAATTAATTTTAATCCATTCATCTCTCTACTGCAATCCATTTCTCTATCTACCGCAATCCATTCATCCATTTCTCTCCCTACCTCTCTACAATCCATTCATCCATTCCTCTCCCTACCTTTCTGCTCTCAGCCTCTCCACAAAATACAAATCTCTTTCGATACTTAGTCTCTCACAAGGAATTTGATCTCAATAGCATTCTCTAGCGTTCTTTGTCTTGTTTCTTTCTCGCCTGCCGTCTTTCTCTCTTTAGTCTCTTGGAACGCTATAACGGATAAGTTTTTTCGTTTTTTCTCTTTTTGTTATATCCCCTTGCAAAAACTGATTGTATATTTTAACCTTGATGCATTCTATGATAATTGTTCATATTGAGTTAAATGTTTGAATCATAATAGTTCTATTTTACTTTTTATAGATGGAAAACAATAGTGTAACAATATGTACAAGTAGCTCAAGTAATTATAATGCATTGAAACCATCATTGGCTACCCAATCTGAATTTAAGAAGAAGAAACCCAGTACATCAACCGTGTGGGATCACTTTACAAGATTAGAGAACAATAATAAGAGGACAAAGGAGTATGCTTATGATACTAATTCTTGTGGAACTAGCACGTTATGAAAGCACTTAAAAAATCAGTGTAGGAAGTACCCATATAAGGTGGAGGACAAAGGACAAACCAATCTAAGTTTTCAATGTTCAATGGATGGAAAGGGTGGTAGTAATATTGTTACTTCATTATTTAGTCAAACAAGATGTAGAGCAGCATGTGCCAAGATGATAATTATGGATGAATTATCATTTAAATTTGTAGAGAATTAGGGTTTCAAATTGTTTTGTAGTATTGCATGTCCTAAGTTTGACCCTCCGTCAACAGTAACCATTGCTAGAGATATATTTCAGCTCTATCTAGAAGAAAAAAAGAAGTTGAAAGATTTTTTAGTCAGTCATTCCAAGAGGGTTTGTCTTACCACTGACACATGAACTTTGTTGCAAAATATTAATTACATGGTAATCACCGCTCATTTTATTGATTCAGAATGGAATTTGCATAAAAGAATTCTCAACTTTTGCCAAGTTATTAACCACAAGGGAGAGACTATTGGCAAGATTATTGATACTTGTTTATTGGAATGGGGAATCGATAAGGTTTTCTCTATCACAGTTGATAATGCAAGTTCCAATGATATAGCTATTTCATATATTATGAGAAAGCTTAGAAGTTGGAATTCACTTGTCTTAGATGGAGAAATGTTACACATGAGGTGTTGTGCTCACATAATTAATTTGATTGTGAATGAAGGGCTTAAAGAAATGCATGACTACATTTCTAATGTTCGCAATGCCGTGAGGTATGTTAGATCATCCCCTAAGAGATTGACAAAATTTAAAGATTGTGTTGAACAAGAAAAAATTAAATGTAAAGCACTTGTTTGTTTGGATGTGGCGACTTGATGGAATTCCACTTATTTGATGCTTGATCATGCCTTGAAATTTGAAAAAGTTTTTAAAGTATTAGAGGAGGGAGAATTAGATTATGTTGATTATTTCAAAGAGGGGGATCATGGAAACAAAAGAATAGGGCCACCAACCATTGATGATTGGAAAAATGTTGCAATGTTTGTAATGTTTTTGAAGGTTTTCTATGATGTCACTGCGAAGATAAGTGGTTCTTTATATGTGACTTCTAATTCTTATTTTCATGAACTTTGGGGTATTTGAGAACTTTTAATTCAGTGGAGTACAAATGTGAACTCTGTTTTAAGTAACATGAGTTCAAATATGAAGTTAAGTATGACAGATATTGAGGCCCAGTGGAAAGAATTAATAAGTTGATATTCATAGCAGTGGTACTCGATCCTCATTACAAATTGGATTACATATCATTTTGCTTTTCGAATATTTACGAAGATGGACACAATTGATGAAGAGAATTTGAGTAGTTCAATATTAGTATTATCAAGATACAAATGAAGAAGAAAAGAGCAACATTCACTCGAGTTAAAGAATGATGTGGATCGATATTTATCTGACCCTAGTGAAGAACTTGATGATAATTTTGATGATTTGGCATGGTGGAAAACAAATGAGTTTAATTATAGAGTTTTATCGAAAATTGCCCAAGATGTTTTGGCCGTTCCAGTGTCGACGGTATCTTCTGAATCAACATTTAGTATGGGTGGGAGGATTTTTTATTCTTGTAGGAGCTCTTTGACACCTAAAAGAGTGGAAGCTCTCATATGTACACAAAATTGGATCGGTAGAAAATCAGTGTTGTTAGATATTCCTACACCTTGAAGATTTGGAGATTTGTTTTAAGATTGAAACAGGTAACTCCAAATCTATTTATTGTCTATTTGTTAAGATGTATTATGTATGGTTATATCACAATTTATATTTTATTTTTCAGATGATTTAAGACCTTCAAGTTCTACCAACGTCATGCAATAATTATTTTTGAATGTAAGTAAAATATTTGAAGTTACACTATGCTTTATCCAAACAATCTTAAAACGGTA